AAATTTTACATTCTTGTAGGGGGAGGAATACCAAATAAACCCACCATAGTACTATTTAATTTCAGAAAGGGGAACTACACAGAAAGGAGGAAACTAGTTAAAGGAAAATTAAAAGAACAGTCACAAGGGTGAAATGCCTGCAAGCTGCATGGAAACTTTTTAAACACATCGTAACTAAATGTACACCCCAAATAAATAAAAAAACCAGTAAGAGGATCAAAAAAAAGCCACCATGGCTAAACAACAGAGTAAAAGAGGCATAGACAAAAAAATTTGAAGTCAAATCCAACTGAGGAAGATAGAAAGAAGCATAAACTCCGGCAAGCCAAGTGTAAAAGTATAATTAGGCAGACCAAAAAAGAATTTGAAGAGCAACTAACAAAAGGCGAAAAAAATTTGCTGTTAGTTTTTGTAAGTAAATCAGAAGTGGGAAGCCTGCCAAACAATCAGTGGGGCCACTGGACAATCGAGGTGCCAAAGGAGTGCTCAAGGAAGACAAGGCCATTGTGGAGAAGCTAAATTAATTGTTTGTATAGGTCTTAACTGCAGAATATGTGAGGAAGATTCCCACATCTGAGCCATTCTGTTTAGGTGACATATCTGAGGAACTGTCGCAGACTGAGGAGTCAATAGAGGTAGTTTTGGAACAAACTGATAAATGTAACAGTAATAAGTCACCAGGACTGAAGGGTATTCACTCAGGAGTTCTGAAGGAATTCAAATATGAAATTACAGAACTACTAACCGTGGTATGTAACCTATCGCTTAAATCAGTCTCTGTGCCAAATGACTGGAGGATACCTAATGTAATGCCAATTTTTTTAAAAGGTTCTGGAGGCAATCTTGGCAATTACAAGCCCATAACTTCAGTACCAGGAAAACTAATTGAAACTATAGTAAAGAACAGAATTATCAGACACATAGATGAACACAATATGTTGGGGAAGAATCAACACAACTTTTGTAAACGGAAATCATGCTCACCAATCTATTAGAATTCTTTAAGAGTGTCAACAAGCATGCGGACAAAGGTGATCCATAGTGTACTTGGACTTTCAGAAAACCTTTGACAAGGTCCCACACCAAAGGCTCCTAAGCAAAATAAGCAGTCATGTGATAAGAGGGGAAGTCTCATTCCAGTGGAGTACCGGAGTCAACCGGAGAGCGCTCTGCAGTCAATTTAGCGGGTCTAGTGAAGATTTATCTTGTCTTGTCTTGTCTACCCTTATCCCCGGTAAGTGTAGACATGGTCTAAGACTGGGATCTCACTAAAGTGGGTGACTGGGCAACAAAATGGTAGATGAAGTTTAAAACAAACAAAAGGAGGTATTTCTTCGCACAACACACAGCCAACCTGTGGAACTTGTTACCAGGGGATGTTGTAAAAACCAAAAGTATAACTGGGTTCAAAAAAGAATTAGATAAATTCATGGATGATAGGTTCACCAATGGTTATTAGCCAAAATGGTCAGGGATGCAATCCTACGCTCTGGTTGTCCCTAAACCTCTAACTGTCAGAAGCTGGGATTGGACAGGGGATTGATCACTTGATAATTGCCCTTTTCTGTTCATTCCCCTGAAGCATCTGGCGCTGGACAATGTCAGAAGACAGGATACTGGGGTAGATGGATCACTGGTCTGACCTAGGATGGCCGTTCTTATGTTCTTAAGAACATTAAAGTTGCAAATTCGAGCACTCAACAGTTAGGCACTGTACAGACATACAACAAAAACGGCAAAGTGCCCCAAAGAGTTTACAATCTGTGTTTATGTTGAAAAAAGAGGTTGATACAAGTATCATAGGGATACGAGAGTACTCAGCTGAGGCTATTTTAAATTTATGCAAGTTTTTAAGTACTTATTTTGTACTCCAATAAACGTTAAAAAAAACAAAAAAAAAAACAAAGTCACCTCTATGATCCTGTCCCCTTCTCTCAGGCTGGTGTAATACCCAAACATCTAGGAGTGAAGGACAGAGTGGTAACCTAAGACTGAATTTCCTTGCTTCTCAGAACTTTTATTTATTTTAAGGTATTATTTTGTCTGTTTAATTCAGCATCTGTCTACTACAGTGCACCTCTATAAATAAAAGGCAAAGTTATGATCTCAGACAATTTCAATATACAGAATACTGTAATATTTGATTATGCAAATGTAGGAGAAGTAAAGTGAAGACAAGTTTATTTTTCCAATCAGTTTCTAAACTGGCCTCTAAAAACGCATTACTCAATTAGTTCAAGAATAAAAGGTTATGTACTTGTTCAAGCTGATCATTGTGACTTGTCATTTCAAAAACATTAACAGAACAATCTAAACTCAAAGAAAAATGTCAGCATTACTTCATGAAAACTCAGGGCTTGATTTTTAAAGAGTTATATGTATTACCGAAAGCACACCATTACGTATACAACTACGTGCCAAATTTTCATGTACGTACCCTAACTATGCATGCAAACCAGATGCTGGTACCTTTCAGTGGCCACATGGATACAAAACTGACCATGTATGTGTAGTCATGTTAAATGCATGATATTATACAACTTTTTTGAAAAAAATCAAGCTCAGCATCTCTTACTACCGCTCATTCTCTGACTAACAAAATCAGAGACTTCTCAAACTTTTACTCTAGATTAAGAAACAAGGAAAGATGCTTTCATCCTGACAAAATGTGCTTAGTGTTATTGAACTGAAGTTTAATTTACCCTGTCACTTTCAAAGTCTTCAAATTATTTACTGATCTGAGAATTTCCCCTCCCCTCGCCAACAAAATTAGCCTCCAATCCTGCAATATGGTATACTTATGACACATAAAATATATGGTGTTCCAATACAGAATATGTCAGCAAAAGGGAGTAACTAGTTAACCGGAAGAAGACTTTCAATCAGTATAAATGGATAAAAACAACCTGGGATATTTTAGCTATATAAAATCTAATGCAATGCATGGATTATGAAAAGCAATATTTTCCAAAAATAATTATTCTTCAAACCAGAAAAGATGTTTATATTACACACATTACATATGATGCAATCAAAATAGCAAAAATTATAGGTTTTAAATTAGGATGCAGGTGTTGTCACGTGTCTGCTTCTTTATAAGACAAAATTAATAAAAGCAGCAAAATTACTTTGCCTTTATCTTTGTAAGGTCCCAAATCTTTATTAAAGTCATTTAAGATCATCCCCTCTTTTTCTATCCTCATATGAGTAACCTTACAGCAAGATCATAATCCTGCCTTCATAACAATGCAGGGTGTTGTCGATGAAATTATGACACAAAATCAGCATTTAAACAACTTCTCTGCAGGATCAAGATAGAGGTGAAACGAAGGATTTCCTCCCTCACAGCCTGTTTAAACACATCTCTTTGCTAACAGGCAAAAGGAACTATAAAAACATATGATGGGTAAATAGAGAAACATAAAAGCTCCACCCCATCCAAGATTCGATTTCAAGAGTCACTTGTATGAGAAGCAGCAAAGAGTCCTGTGGCATCTTATAGACTAACAGACGTATAGGAGCATGAGCTTTCGTGGGTGAATACCCACTTCGTCGGATGCATGTAGTGGAAATTTCCAGGGGCAGGTATAAATATGCAAGCAAGAGTGAGTAAGGCTAGAGAAATTGTATGAGAAGAAACACATTTCAGAGTTTTAAATACAGCCACAGGCAGGAATTCATCAGATGCTCTTTCACCTACATCCAGTGCATACACAGCCATATGTATGCCTGGTGGTGCAAGGATGCATGTGTAGAGTAAATCCAAAATGAAGGCCAGGACTTCTAATCTATTGGTCTCAAAAAGTCTTCTACAGTTTATTCCAAAGGTCTAATACACTCCCACCACCAGTTAACAAAAAGAAAGGTCACATTTTCACATCTATGATGTAGCCAGAGGGCTATATGTCAGAACCATGAATAAGGCAACACGCACACACTCAGGGTTCCGATGCTTCAGTCTCTTGATTACTATTACCCCTTACTCAACATTACATTGTAGTTGAGTTCTCTATTCTGCTTCCTCTCATGCCTAAAAGTAATTTGTATTGATGTAAGATCATCTATCCGAAGGCCTCGAAACACTTCATTATTAACAATGGATTACACCTTGCAATCCCCTGTGTTATGTCCATTATTATTAATATTTTTATTGTGATTGGGCCCATCGATCCCAGTTAGGATAAGCACCCCTTTGGGCTAAGCACTGTACAGACAGATATGAAGATGCAGTCTTTACCCGGAAGACTTATATATTCGAGCAGAAAAGAAACAAACAGTGATAAAGACAACATGTAAGAAAAGATCTAAAGGTAAAAGGGACCAACAAGATTTTATAGTTTGCTTTGTACTCCCCCCACACACACCAAACGATCCCATTTGTCATGTTCCTCTGTACCAGATATGGACTGGCTACACAGCTTGCTTATACACACCAGATGTGTTCATCATAAGATCCTTTAATGCTCTGCCAGGTATGGCTGGGGTTCATTTAAATAAGATACTTTACACACCGTGTCTACCATTTACAATATTGATATTATCACCTTGTCTTTGAAGTTCAGTACGTATCAGTCTGTTAAGTGTCTCTGAATCATACTGGTTTTCTAATTACATGACATAAACTCATAACAACTTGGTCATCTGGCTGTCCACTAGTTGTAACCACTGGCTGTGGTCAGTTTGGAATACTTTAGTCTTCTTCATGGGCATAGTTTGTGGGGACTGGAGGAGGTATTGCCCCCCAAACTGCAAGTCTCAATCAGATGTGGAACCTGGGGTTAAGTTGATTTGAGGGAGGATGGTAGATTAAAATCATAAGAATCCAGACACTGTCTGCCAATTTATAATTATTTGTTGAAAGTCAAATTTGAGGCCTAAAAATATTGATAATGTCCTTTTAACTACATAATGACATAGCATGCCAATGAATACCCATAAAATAAAGACCCTGTACAATATGCAGTATTCTGTTCTTATACTACTGAGTATGATCAACTTACAATGCTGTATATCTGTCCATTGCAGATTGCACATCTCTACGGTAAACTGTACGAAGAATTACCATGACTGGGTCAAATTCTTTATCCCAGATATCAGCTGTTGTTTAAACAAACAAAAAAAAGCAAGCATAAGTTAACATTAACTTCTAAACACTATAAATTATTCCAGATTGTTTTGTTAATTAGCTTACAGGAGGCACATGTATTTTATATAATTTTTTAATTTTCTAAATTGTCTTCAGCAGCAGACAATGTAGCTTAGTTTCTTACTTTTTCATACATCAGTGCATATCTTCACTATTAAAGATATTTTCGCTCAGTTACACAATAAAAATTAAAAAGAAAGAGCATTTCAGGCAATAGATATCTTTCATTAAGCAGCTTGACTTCAATACCTTATAGAATTTCATTTATTTTTGTATAATACCTTACAAAAATACTTGTATGATGCCTCTAAAATGACAACTGACAATAAAAGAAAAACTGGATTTATAAAGCATCATTCAAAAATTATTTTAAAGCCCTGAATAACAGCAGTTTTTCCTTAGTTGCAGTTCACATCCCCACTTTTTCATATTCATGATATTTTCCTTTATTTTGAACTCTTTTAGGAAAAGATAGAATTTGGTAAATACAGCCAGCCATGGAAATAAGAGGTAATGAACATGAGGTAGTTAATGGTTGGATGACATTTAGGGGTTGTCTACACCAGGGAGAGGGGCAAATGGAGGGGTGTTAAACTGGATTAAGTCAAAATAATCCAGTTTGAAAATACTCGTGTATGCACAACACAATTTATTGTAGTGCACTGACTCCGCATTTATGGAAAACTCTGGAGTCATCTTTCAAAGTGAACTAACTTTGCTGGAAATCAAGTTAGTACAGTCCATTGTTCATGTGCATGCAATTCTGTTGCAAACTACTTTGGCACTCTTCCAACAGCTGCCCCACACTGCTTTGCAGGTGACCATTACTGACCTGTTTACCTGTGTGTCCTCCCCTGCTCTGGGGTCAAGTTAAACAGATGTCCCGCCATTCATCAACTGGCACACAAACAGAATTTGTCCTTTTGCTCATGGATTCCAATTTCTCACCATAGCTACAATAATACTCCAGAAGCCCCAGGACATGCCTCAAGCAGCTACTTGGAGCTGCACCAAAAACCTGGATCTTGTCACCATCTTGGGAGAAGTGCTGGGGCAGGAAGTTCTTGTAACAGCCACCAGAATAAAGACCTATTTTTGCAGACACTGCTAGACAGATGTCTGCGAGGAGCCAAGACCAGATGCCAAACAGTACTAGATAAAGAGCAAGCAGCTCAGGAGGACCTACATTAAAACAAGGGATGACAGGAAAAAATCTGGCCAGGAACATGCAACTTGTCAACTTCTTGAGATACTGGATAGGATTTTACATAACGATACAACCTAGAAACTTGTGGAGCCCGCTGCCCACTCACCCCTCCACTCCCTCAAGGATGACCAGCAAAACCAGCAAAATTCATCGGATGATGAGCACGAGGAGATCCATAAAGAGATCACCCCAGAAAGCCAGGATCTGTTCAAGACTCAGGATCCTGATACAGAAGATAGGAGAGCCAGATTCCCGACATGCAATAATCAACCTCGATTCCCGGTCAGCAATGCAGACCAGGACTGAGGAGGCTGATCCCATCGGATTGTAAGTCTTTTAATAATTGTTTAGATAATTTAATATTAAAGTTTTAATTCATTATTGTTATTATTATTGTTGTTATACAGCCTTGCTAGCCTGTGTTCCGGTGCCCCATGGCCACAGTCAGTGTAGGCAGATGTGAGCTAGAAGCCTTTCTGAGTCCGAGGTCTCCACCTCCCTCCCTTAGTCCATGCTGTCTGTTTGGTGCCCCACATATCTTTCCAAGACAGCAGCTACTCTGGTTGGGCAACTCGCCTCCTTCTCATACTAAAGCCCAACTACTGACAGTTTTCAGGCCCACACTATGGAAGGGACGTGTCCATGTATCTATTTTCCTTTCCCCTTCCCTCAGCTGTCCTGCCTGGAGAACGCCCACTCCACACACCCCAAATCCAGTTTGCCACCGCAAAACGGCAGCTGGCAGCATGGTACAGCTGCAATCTCTACTCTACCCTCCCTCCTGCAGTAGATTCAAATAAGGAAAACATTCTTTTGTGTGAAATGCAAAAGTTTATTGAGACAGTGATTACAGGAAAAGAAGTTTGGTTAGCGTTCTGACTTTACACAAGATAGACATCAACACTGCATGCCTGTAAGGCCACAAACAGTATAGCTCCCTGCTGACGTACAAATGTCCTGTAACACCATTCTCAGTGATAAGAGTGAATCTTCACGTAATCAGTGCAGAAAGCTAGCTATTTTTCACTGCACTTTCAACAGGTCTGCAGGGCAGATAAAGCAAAATCTAAGGCTGAGAGATTGTTGTTCAGCAATAGCTGCACGGCCTTCTCCCCAGGGTAGTTCGCAACTCCCTTTCTCACCTATAGCACTTCTGGGGGAGAATCATCTTGGCAAATAACTTCACAGTGTATCTTGCTGGTCTGCCCTTTGCCTTTTTCAGTAAGGCCATTCTCTGCCTACTAATCACCCATCTCAGTGAAATGTCATCCAAAGTCAGGACAGCCTAAAGGGGATGTAGAGGGGATTACTATGCAACTCCCCCGTTAACTCCTCCAACACCATGTAAGCACCTCCAAGACACATAAATACTTCAAAGGCAGATCAGGAACATATTTCCCAACAGCATCTCCATATCAGGAACATATTCCCAAACACACATACTCTCCCTCAGCCTCCAAGGCACAACTGCAAAGCCAAACAGTATATAGTTGTCATAAATATAAAGGGAAGGGTAACAACTTTTATGTATGCGAATACCGACCAGACCCTTTGTCTCTAGGACACTGAAAATCAATCAGGTTCTTTAAGGAAGAACTTTATTTAAAGAAAAAGTAAAAGAATCACACCTGCAAAATCAGGATGGAAGGTAACTTTACAAGGTAATAAAAAGATTTAAACACAGAGGATTCCCCTCTAGGCTCAGCTTCAAAGTTACAAAAAACAGGAATAAAACTCGCTCTTAGCATAGGGAAAATTCACAAGCTAAAACAAAAGATAATCTAATGCATTTCCTTGCCTCTACTTACAATTTCTGTAATTTTAGATGTATAATTTCAGGTATATTTTCAGGAGATATTTACCTGCTTGGTATTTCTCTCCATCCAGAGAGGGAACAAACAAAGAGAACACAAACAAAACCTCACCCCCTCCCAGATTTGAAAGTATCTTTTCCTTTTTGGTCCTTTTGGTCAGGTGCCAACCAGGTTATTTGAGCTTCTTAACCCCTTACAGGTAAAGTGATTCTGTACCTCTGGCCAGGAGGAATTTTATGTTACTGCATACATAAAGGTTGTTACCCTTCCCTTTATATTTATGACAATACTGCACAGACGAAAATCCCAACGCATGCATCACTTACCATCTCTAAGATTCCCTCCTGCCTGGAAAGAATCTCAGGGATGGTAAAGCCAAAAATATGTGCGAAAAAATTGCTATCACATTCTCCCTAGAACATAACCATAACCACTTGTTATGAACAAATACCCGCACAGCTATGGCACCCTGCATTGGCCAGACCATTAAGGACAGGGATTTTATCAATGGCAGAGGACTGGCAAACCTGAGCAAGAGAAAACGGAAAACTTGTGATAAAATGTTCATGGACATCATTTCAGAATCCATGCCCCCCACCCTCCACCAAAAAAATCCCACCCGCACATCACCACACCACGAGAAATCCAGAGAGGTGGAGGCAGAGGGCTGTGTCTGACGACGGGAATGGAATCCAACAAGAAGATTTCCAGGGAGTTTGCCACTGCAACAAAGGACCGCATGGCAGTTACCAGGGAAAGCACTGTTGTGGCCAATGACAGTATGGAAAAAAAGATAGTGAGATGCAGAGGCAACACCTGGAGGCAATTCAAAGCCAAGATGCCCTGTTGAAATGCATGCTACTACTAAGGCAGCAGGCAATGCAGTACTGCAAACCAACACCCAGCCACGTTATACAGCCCCTACAACAGGGGTTCTCAACCTTTTTCTTTCTGAAGGCCCTCCCCAACGTGTTATAACAACTCCACAGCCCAGCTATGCCACAACTACTGTTTTGCTGCATATAAAAGCCAGGCCAGCATTAGGGGGTAGCAAGCAGGGCAATTGCCCAGGGCCTCACGCAACAGGGGGATTTGGGGCCATGGGCTACAGTCCTGCGCGGCAGGCATTTGGCCTTCTGCCCTGGGTCCTAGCGAGTCTAACACCGGCCATGCTTGCTGGATTCCTAAAACCTGCTCACAGCCCCCCAGGCGGCCACAGACACCTGGTTGAGAACCACTGCCCTACAACACAGGCCTCTGGGAACAACTTCTCCTCCCCACTGTACACCTGCGGCACTGCTCCCAGAAGCCATTCCCCAGCTCGGGGCACTGAGAACAGTGGCACCTGGGACCCCAGCTCCTTTGAGCCTTCTACGGCCCTTAGTAAATTTGAGCTTCAGCACTCAACACCAGAGGTGCAACAAACAAGAAGAGACAGAGACAAGCCATATACTTTCCTGTGACTTCAAGCTTCTTAATCGTTGAGTTGACTCCTGCCTGTTGCACTTCCCTGTTTTGTTTCACTACTCTTTTAAGAAAGGGCACTTTGTTTTTAATATAGTGTTTCATAATTAAAAAACGTTTCATTTTCATTTCAGTTGAAGATTCATTTCTGTTTGTTACTCAGATTATTTAATAATAAAAACCTTTAAAATTTCATTTCTAAGAAGTCAACAGCTCATTTTTCACAGAAAATAATTAAGTTTGTACTAATCCATAAGGCTTTACAAAGACATGGAGGCAAAGACACAAGGTACAAGACAGACATTGCATTTCCAGTACCATAAAAAAAAACACTGAGCTGCACAAAAAACTTCCAGCCCTTCCCCCCTCCGCTGGTTAACAGCTGGATGTACAGCTGCACAATTTCAGGTCTAAAGACTCAAATTAATTGCAGTACACATCCTGATGATATTGCCCCAGCTGTTTA